AAAAAAAAAAAGAGAGAGAAAAAAATGCAAACCTATGAACTTTTTTTTTTCTTTTCAGTTTTACACCTGTACAAAATAACAAGAAGGAACTGTAATGCTCAGGAAGAGCTCAGCTAGCCCCAAGAGAATCTCACTTCTTGGCAATTCAGGTAACCTCATGAAACATTTGTTTCTTCCAGTCAATTGCAACATATACATTATTTACATTAATTGCTTTTTAAATTAAAGTTGTCATCCGTTATTCCCTTCACTGTGTACAGTAAAGAGCTGATCCAAAATGCTTTCCATGTAGAGATGCTTACTTTCAACATCTCCTTCTGAGTTTTTGGGGGGATTGTCCATGTGCTATATTGAAAAAAAAAAAATAATAATCTCAATTTTACATATACAATGCTTGAGAAAATAGAAACACAAAAATTGGTCCCTGGGGTTAGCTGAGAATCTTGCTACACATAAATATCTACTCTGCATAATTTCTGGGCACATTACAGTCAATATCATTATGGAGACATCAAGCTTAGAAGTCTTGGCTCATCTATATGGTAAAGGGAAACCAGGTTTATGGCAAACCCAGCTACTGATCAACATTTCCAAGATTAAAGTTTAATTGAGTCAATTATTCTTCTCTTGCTCTCCCATGGAAGAAAAGGTTAAGCTAAATTTAAATAAGCCACGTTGATCTCTACATTATTCATTCAGTCACTGATATATCACTGTCTTGATAATTTATGGGTTCTCAAAGCTACCGTGATGTTTACCGCCCATCCCAACATTTTCAGTAATCATCAATTAAGATGTCCCTTGGTTCCCAATTCATTTCAATTCTGATAGATTTGTAGAAATTGATCAAAAATACTATTCAATCATTGTTTCACGTGGAGCTGTTGACCTCACTGCATGGTATCAACATTCATTTTGTGATGAAGTCGATGTCTCCAAGCTAAAGCTTCAGACATTAAAGACCTACTATTAATGTTAGCAACTATTTAATGCTGCAGCACTTGTAAGCCTACCTTTTTATGTTAGCTTTACATAAAATCTTTTTTTATTTAGGGACATAAGACATTTTGCCTTTTGTTTTAAAGCATGTTTTAAGCAATATTTTCAAATAGAGGAAAGAAACACAAGAACCTAAACACCATTTTCAAAAAGTTTTTAGACACTGAGACACATTTTCTGTGATGCATTTTGTCCTGATGCAATCACTAGATCTTCTTTGAAAACCTTAGAAGCCCTCAAATGCAAGAATTTACTAAATCTGCATCCAAGCGTCAGCATCGAGTCGAGCCTTGCTGCTTGAGCTGCCTCTGAGTTCAGCGAATAGAAAGCAAGCTCCCACAGGCAACCCACCAACCTTAAGGTGTTTGTGAGGTAGCTGGAAAGAAACTGTCTTCCTGCGAGTACTCACATCTCTCCTTTGACCACAAAGGGAAGCAACTGTGACCAAAAGAGCAGTAAAATGTGCAGTCAGCAATAGCAGAAATTTAAAAGACACTTAATAATGATGACTTGCAGCAAGCAACACTACATTAAATAGAGGAAAACATTTCCTCAGACAAATTAGAGTCATTTTTTAAGTGACTTGGGCAGTTGGAAGCTGGACACCACTTCCCTCCAATGATACTCCACCTGTAGACACGTTTGAGTGTAGCCCTGCTTTGTGTTACAAGTTCAAAGCATCAGATCAAAAAGTCACATTTTCAAGATTAAACTTGGCACTGTGAAAAGATTTCATCTCATCAAACTACCATCATCAAAGCTTAAAACCTAGCTTTCTGATCACTGTCCTAACACGTGTCCTCCTAATGAGACATCATATTCTTAACTGCACTATTCCTAGCCCCATGACTACCGTTGTAGCCCAGTCCTCCTGTTGCACACTCCTCCTCTCCTTAGTAAAGCAGAGAAAAGAAAGAAAACAATGCCTGAAAATTAGGGATATAACAGACCACCCAACAGCAGGCAGTCATAACAATGTATTTCCTCTGTCACACTTCCTACAATGAAATGATCATTAAAATCAATGATCCATACATAGAGACTTCACATTTCACCCACAAGTATGATAGGAGGCGGAAAGGGGAAGGGATAGACAGGGAATGGTATTTTTGTAAGAGCATGGGGCACACCTTCTTTGTAGGTCTTAATGACAGCTCCAGATCTGCAAAAAACCTTTCATTGTTCCTGTTGAGTTTGTCAGCCATCATCTAGTACTGACGAAAACAGCAGCCTTAAAAAGCAAAAGGAGGCCAAAAGATTTGTGATAGAAAGCAGCACTGAAGCTCTCAAGAGTTCAGTGAGCATACAGAAACATGTCAATCATTGTCAGAAACTCAAGAGATTAAAAAGGACACAAAAGCACAGTAAATGACAGCAGTAGGATGATCAGTTCTTTATATTGACTGTTAAGGCACCAGACTGCTTAGAGCACCACCAATGGAGGTCCAGATCACTACTCCCTGTAGCTGATGGGATGGGTATCAGGCTAGAAATTAGAATGGAGGCAGGCTTTGAAGGGCCCAAAAGGCAAGGAGAGAAAGAGAAGTGTCTACAGCCACCAAGATCAAAGTATCATCTGTTCCCAGCTAAGAGGAGACTTTCTGGAAGGTCCAGGCACCACCTTGCCCCATCCCATCCCACGATTCACTGCGTGATGACATCCATGAGGTGTGACTTGCTGGAAGGGGAGGACCTTGCTGTTGGGGTGGATGGCTTTCCCTGCCAGCAGCCAAAAAGGTACACCTGACAGAGCCTTCAGAAGCAGTCACTGCAGGATGGAGAGAGGAATTTATTCTTACTGCACTATATGCCAAATTGCTAAGGTACCTGTCACTCCAGGAGCAAAAAGTCTCTACTGTTCTCTGCCCGGCTTTGCAAAACCTTCAGTCACACACATACACACACACAGAGACAGAGAAGACCCCTGGTCGCAACCTGCCCAGATACTCTGCTATGTTCAAGCTGCTAATAAATAATTGACAGTGGGTCCCAGAACAGACAATGTCACTGTCGGCCCCCATCAAGTACTAGACATTTGGGAAATTTGTGTTTGTGTTCCTTTTCTGGCTTTGATTTGATTTTCTCACTCCCTTCCCCCTCCAGTTGCCCTAAAGCTGTAAGAATAATATAGGATCTGTCTCATCCAGTATCTGTGACAAGCACAGCTCTGCACGCATGGCCATGCAGAAGCAAGAGGTCTCCAAGTCTCCTGTGTCTGGCTGCCGATTGTGAATTAACTCCTTCTCCAGGCATTGCAGTTCCAAGAGAGAATTGCTGCTCAAGTAAGATCCAGGCTGCCCTTTTCCCCATCCTTCTTGTTTATTTATGGGCTTTATTTCTATGTGCTCTGTGCTGCAGCATTAAGGGAGGTAGCAGGGGAACTTGAGAGCTGCCTGCCTTGGTCAGCAATGGCAGAAAGGATCCTGGTACATACTGGCACTGTGCTGAACTCAGTTCTAGACTTCATGAAATGATAAGATACTTATAAAGAACCCCACCCCAGAACCTTCCTTTATGTTTTCTTTTGCTCTCCTGTTTATAACACCTAAGGATACTGTGAGGATGGGGTGAGTGGTGCCAGCACCTTCTGGGAGCAGGATGGCAATGGCTTAGCATAGACTGAAGAATAAGTCTGCTTGTTCTGAAATGGCAAAAAAGGGATTGTTACAGCCTGGCACAGCCTCATATCATGAATCACAGACAGATTTTCCCCTGTGCTTCGGCCTGATTCCAAGCTTGTGTGTTTACATTTTCACCCTGCATGTCTCCTTGAGTATTACTGCAATGCAAGAAATCATGAAGAGCAGCACCTGTCCTGTGGCTGGTGCCTCTGCCACCACTCTGCAGCATGTCCAAGGCCTGCTGTCCTACTCTGTCTTACCTGTCCCTGATGCAGTTCATCTCTGGTCTAGAGCAGTGGTACTCTTAAGGTCACTAGATGGTGTTTAATACTTGACAAGACTGCATCCAGTGCCTCAAAACTGCAGCTTTGGGGATGTCTGGACTCCCCTGGAACCCACAGGCAAAAGGAAAGGTGGTGCACTCAGGATTTGATGCCCTAGAGAAACCCTCTCAGTTTAGCCTGAATTTCCCAAAGGTTTTCATGGCCTTAAAAGTGAGGCTGTTGCTAAGCCGAGTGCTGCAGATGGACATTTACATTTCAGTCTTTCTGTGCAGCAACAGGCAGGCACATGTGTTTGAGAAAAGCAACAGAGGGTATATGAGTGACCAGTTGTTCCTGACACATCTGCACTGCTTTTTCAGTCTCTGTTTGCTAATGGAACCTGAGAGCAAAAAAGACACTAGTAGTTCTTCATTAAAGTCATCTGCTTTCTCTGTCTGTTTATTTCCATTTTTAAAAGGCCACCTTCATAACTCAGAGCAGCCTGCCCTCCTCACTGTTACCAAAGAGAATTTCAAGCAGGCTTAGACTTTATCCTCTTTCCTGACTAATAGATCCTCAATTCCAAAACACCACTCTGCACTCTGCAGGACATGGGGAAAAATTGCAGCAAGGGGATGCTCAGTAGGAAGAAAAGATCCGTGCTCTCCAGAAGCATAAATACTCAGCATACAGGCTGCAACTTCTGGCTCTCCTCATCTCAGCCTAAGATGTTTTGTTGCGAATTTATGATGCCATCTTGAGTACCAAGGGTAGCTTCCTGGCTCTTTTTTCGTTGTTGCATTTTTCCTAGCTGACAGATATCTGCCTATATCTTCTACTCCTGGCTCTGATTTAAAGTTGTCTTTGCCAGTCAAATTTAGCACTTGCTCATTCTAGATGACTGAAAGTAAGGCCAGGTGTGGGAAAGCAGCTTTGAGTTACATTGTGCAGCTTGTCTCTGTGTGTCTCCAGCCAAGGACACAGGGTAGTTATACTGGCTGCTTCCCATGTCTTTTGCAAATCTTTAAGAATAAATAATAATAATAATAATAATAAATAAATAAATAAATAAATAAATAAATAAATAAATGTGGGGGGTGCGGGGGGGAGAGGGAGGAGGAGGAGGAGAATTCACCGATAGGAAAGCTCTTAAGCTGCAAATTCTTGTTTGTTTCATTTGTTGCCTAGGCCACAGTTAATTCCAGGACAAGCCTGGATTAAGAAGTAATGCAAGTCATCTCCCACGTATACTTGTTAACCTCTGCTTAGGGAACCTGTGAACTGTGCAGGTGAGCAGAGAGAGGTTGCCCAAGCCACACACCTGCTTTATGGGGAAGAATTCATTTCACAAGTGCATAGGAGAAGTAGAAAAGCAGTGGGTAAAGCAAGTAATCCCTTTCCTGACATGTGGCCAGGGGTTATGCAGTCTGCTCAGTCAAAATTTCCTGAGCCAGAGGTTGTATGCCTATTTCTGCATTAATAGCCTTGGATGGAGGAATGTGTTCAACTGTCTGGGGGTTCTGACCCACAGCTAATTGCTAATACCTGTAACAGATGGTAAAAGGTCTGCTTTTCCTTACCTTTTCATTCCTGTTGCTGAACTGCTCCACTGGGTGCTCTCATGTCATGGTGAACTTCCTGTCTCAGGCTCTCCTTGGACAGCAGCAGTAGACACCAACTCTGGTGAAGGAAGACTGCAGGACTCTGCGCTTTGGAACCCTCTGCATACTGGAAAGAAGAAAAAAAAAACAAACAAAAAAACAAACACGCAGCCCTGTGCTGCTGACTGCCATCACCAAGTGACAGTGCTGGCATGACACCCACCTTCATAGCGTGCACCCCTAATTTGGCGTCAAAAATATACATACCTGGGAAGGGTGTGTTGTCTTGAAGGGTGTTGAAGAATCTAAGCCAGAAACCAAACTCCTTCAGCCATCTTCCCCTAAAGGACCAAGCAGAAATTGTATGTCTACCAGGCAAGTGGTCCACTTGCCTGGTAGACATACAATTTCTTCCTTGAAGGGATGCCTTTCCTTCACAGCTGACAGAAGACGCCTCCAGAAGCTGTAAGGTGGTGCTCTATCTCCAACTGCATTGCCAATGCCTGCGTCTCTAGCAGGGGATCCCAGCCACCTGGCTTCCCTGACCTCTAATTCCACACAACTGGCTCCGATGTCCCAGCACTGGAGCAGCCAGTTGACAAGCTGCTCACCTCTACAGCGACCAAAATCTTTTTGCACACAGAATCACACAACCACCTAGGTTGGAAGAGTCTTCCAAGATCACCTAGTCCAACCTCTGACCTAACACTAACCAGTCCTCCACTAAACCATATCCCTAAGCTCTACATCTAAACATCTTTGAAAGACCTCCAGGGATGGTGACTCAACCACTTCCCTGGGCAGCCCATTCCAATGCCTAAGAAACCTTTTGGTAAAGAAATTTTTCCTAATATCCAACCTAAACCTCCCCTGGCACAACTTTAGCCCATTTCCCCTCATCCTGTCGCCAGGCACATGGGAGAATAGACCAACCCCCACCTCTCTACAGCCTCCTTTAATGTACCTATATAGAGCACGATAAGGTCGCCCCTGACATCTCCATAGCTCATGCTGGTATAGGTTTTGGGTAGTTACTGTTGCTTTTCCAAAAACCTTCATCTATCTTCATCTTCATGTTCCTCTGATGTCCTGGCCTCATCTTCTCCATACCTAGTCTTAGGCAGGAGTTTCTCTGCGTACTAAATGACCTGACTCTCTATACCATTTTTTTCACCTTGGTTACGGGTGCAACCGACACTGGTACAGTTTGTTTCCCTGGCTCAGCCTTGGGGCCTGCTTTAGGGTTTGGAGTGGCCACTGGCCCTGTCTCAGGGGTTGAAGTGGCCACAGGGTCTATCACTGGGGTTACATTGGCATAAAATGCAGCTTGGTAAGAATAGGCCAAGCCTCAGCACGTTGCAGTGATTTCTGTATGTCTGGTACTGCCAGGGTGATGACACACCTTTTTCAAGCACTCTACCAGTTTAGGATTTTTTCAGTTGTTTGGGGGTAAATTTCCAAAGCACTGGAGGTGCCCACTGCTCTAGATGCCTGCCCATATCCTCCCACTCTCTAAGCACCCTGCCTCAGCACAGATATCTGGATGACACTATTAAGTATTTGTTTAACCTTAGACAAAACCTGAGGTGCATTTGGGAGACACAACAATGAGAACATGCTGGTATGAGCATCCCAAGGATATTTGAAGTTTTGGAAAGCTGCCATAACTCGCCTGGAGGGGAAAAAAGGGAAAGTGAACAAGTGGCAAAAAATATCTCCTCTTGACCGCTCCATAGGTTGGCTCCCTGAAGAAAAAGCATGAAAGGTGTAATTATTAATAGTTTCTGAGGCAGAGTTCACAAAGTATGGAGTTGATGACAATGCTGAGTACAAATACCAGATTAATCTCAAGGCTGGTAATTTTATCATATCGTAAGCCAGTGTTATACAGTACAGCAAAATAATAACCCTGGTACCAACCCCCAGAAGTGATAAGCACGACAGGGAACACATACACTAAGTTATGTGCTATATAACTCAATTCAGAAAAGAGGCACAGCAGACTTGAGATCACAAAAATCATCACGGTGATTAGCAACTATTAAACCGATGTAATGCTTATAAGAATCTTCTTTTAACACACTCTGGTCACATCTGTCACTATCTCAACCCTTCAAGCCCCACGTTGGGCACCAAAAAGACTGTTGTGGTTTAACCCGGCCAGCAGCTAAATACCACACAGCTGTTCACTCACCCTCCCCCCTCGATCTCTGGGATGGGGGAGAGAAACGAGAAAATGCAGCCTGTGGGTTGAGATAGAGACAGTTTACTAGGACAGAAAATAAAATAAAATAATAATAATAATGATAATAGTTCTACTTCTAATAATGTGTACAAAACAAGTGATGCACAGTGCAATTGCTCACCATCCACTGACCAATGCCCGGCCTAACCCCGAGCAGGTGGCCAGGTGTCTCCCATACCCAAGATGGTATTTTTGGAATATGCTTGGTTTTGGTTGGTTGCTTTTGCAGAAGTTGTTCTGCACGTTAAATCCAGACAGAAAAAATCCAGACTTTTATATGGAAAGAATGAGCACCCCTAATCTGGGGTCAGTAATACACATACCTGGGAAGGGTGTGTTGTCTTGAACGGTGTTAGAGAATCTAAGCCAGAAACCAAACTCCTTCAGCCATCTTCCCCTAAAGGACCAAACAGAAATATCATACTTATATTTCACTTCATTTTCCCTCTTCCATTTAACAGTTAGTTGATTCCTTACAAAATACCCAGATATTGTTCACATATTTGTAAGCAGGGTACTACAGTCCCAGCCCATCTCTATCCAGCAGATGAGAGAATAACCATTCTGTTTTCTGCTTTACAGCCACTATAAGGAAACTCATAATTCAGCCTTCACGTACAGGAAAGTTCTGATGAGATTTAATGGAACTGTAAGTTCTCTTTATGTACATACTGGGAACTAAAGGCAAAGATGTGAATTCATTTGCTGAGGGACATTTACAATCCCTATCCACAAAATAAAGACGGAATGTTTCATGCTTTCTTTTTCTTCTTTTTGTGCCTTTTTTCAGAAGTCTGATGCTTGCTTCTGCAAAATATGAATAAATAATATGAGAAACATAATTTCTTTTAGACCTCTTGCAATACATAAGGTATATAAATATTTATTATATAATGTTAAAGTACCCAGATTAATTTCCTGAGAAAAGTATACATATTGAAATTTTCTAAGTTGGCAAATACTCTAGCAATAAGACAACTAGAAAAAGTTCTTGTTCAGCTCTCAGAATCTGTTTCCAGCTTGGGAATCACAGAGCTGATACATTTGTTCAGACATGACCACTACAGCCAGAGAATGCATTTTCAGTGGGTAGTCTGCAGTCTCCAGTTAATTTCATGTAGGGAAATTGTGTGCTATGGCTCGACAGTCTGCATATAACTGCCATCTACACTGTGCTTTCTGGGGTGGAGACAGCACCCAGATATGCCACTGATCTTGAGTAAAGGGCCTAAATCATGCAAAGATATGCAGAGATATGCTCTGCTCAATGGATAAGCTTAGATAAATGCATAAATCTGTTCCAGATTGTTGCTGGAGGAGTTCCATTAATATAGATTCATAAACAAATTAACTCTCCTCATCTGGAGGGGCCTGGTTTGCCACCGCTGCAATTTTTGAACTTTACTGTGTACTGAAATCACAGCAGTGTAAAAATAGAAGAAGAATGATGTTTCAGGCCTAGTTTGCTCTCATTTCCTATGAAAGTGTATTAATAGGTAATTTGTTTTATCCTTCAAGGCATTCAGGGGCAAGCATGACATAATTCTGAGAAGGATGATAAATTGCCAAAAGATTTGCAAGATAGGTTTCTGAAAATTGAAGAAGATGAAGTTATTTAATGTAGTGTGGTAACCTCATGTTCTATGCTTAGTAGTCATGCTTGGGTCTTTCCATGGGGGGCATTCACTACCTCATTATCTGTAAGTGTTTCTTTAATGTTAAATTTATCCTCCACCCACATTCTGAATTCCTAACATATTTCATTAGAACATCATCTCTAATATCATTTAAATGAAATAATACATAACACATTATCATTATGTATTCAGAACAGTCACAAGTAGGAGAGAATAGAATTTAGCAAGAATTTAAAAGTTTTTAAGACATTCAGCTTATTCAGCTTTTTTTTTTTTTTTTTTTTTTCCTGATGGGAATATAATGCTTGAGTGATAGGAGAGCAAAAGGTCTATTTGCTGCACAGTCCAAGCAATGGGTTCTAAGTGAGAAGAGGTGGGAGGTGAAGCTGATGCTAACAAAGTACATCTGGTGGTAATGTGACCCCAGAGCACATACCTCTTGTCTGACATGACAGCAAAAGGAAATCTTCATCTTCATCCTGCTGCTGAGGGAGAGAGTCACACAGAGATGCAGGCTCTCCTGCCCCTGTCTTTGCTGGGAGCACAGGAACACCCCCACACCTTCCAGACCAAGGCACGTATCCTGGTTGCCTCCGCTCCGGGTGATCCTCTGCACTCTGGGGCAGTCTGGTTTTGCCTGCACTGAAGACACAAGGGTAAGGTCTCTCCTAGCCCTAGGTTCACACACACTTGTGTTCCCCTCCTGGCCACATGGTCCTTGACAAACTGTGGAGCAGAATCCATGTAGAAGCCATTACCAAGGCATTCTGAACAGCTGGAGAAGCAAGAAGCTGGAACAACTTCACGAGAAAAGGGGCACAGACTTACCAATATGTCTCAGATGATAGTGAAAGCGTGTGTGAGAGCAAAGCCCAGATCTCAGGGGCTGGCCCCACCAGCAGTGGCAAGGAGTAGTCTGCAGCTCCAGGGGACCCAGTGGATGTCCTCATGCTGTAGAGCTGGAAGAAAAGCTTTTATCCAAGGCTAAAATAGGCCAACTAACACAAAGTTCAAATGCAGTGCAGAGATTACCCATGTTACTTACTTGCTGCTGTTTTTCCATGTGTTTATGCAAGGTCTGCCAAATCAGCCACATTCCAGAGAGAGAGATTTGGAGAAAAGCAGGGATTTAACATCACATTAAGAAGCTACTTATTGAAACAGTGAGATGCCGACTGAAACTTGGCATGAAATGAAACTGACTGCATCTCATTGCCTAAATGCCTAGCCTAATAATGGTGTTTATCTGTTGAGTACAATGCAAATTTGAGTTGCAGGAGACAGCAGAGACCTAAAGTACGGGGTGTTCTGCAGAAAGCTCAAGTTATTTTCAACACTTTAGATTTGTGAAGTGGTTTGCTACAGTCACTGGGATGTAATAGTCCTATTAATGAAGGCCTGAAAAATCTTCCTTTTCTGCTGAGCCATAAAACTTTCTGAAAAGCATAAATAATAGCAAGAATGATACACAGTTATATTTATTTTAATTACTATTATTGCTTCAACCATTATTATTTTCACTCAGGAACCAAAGTGTGATTAAAACATCATATTTGAATGTTATCATCCTCTTCAGTATTTTAAAGGTGCCCATTGATGCTGGTTTTGGAAAGATGCATATCCCACAATAAAACACATTCCCAATTGACAGCATGCTGATTTAATGTTCCCTCTGACCTTCCACCCTCCTGGGATCCCCCACATGCTGCAAATGATTTTGTGCTCCAGATTTTCTTCAGCTTCTTCTACATCTGCCACATCTCATTTTGGCTCTTCAATCAATTTCATCTTCATCCTTTCTCCCATTAGCATGTAAGTCTTCTAGCAGTATTCCAAGAAAAGCATTTACCTAATAATAAGAGCATTGTAAGTTTTATAGTTTTACTTTTTCAACTTTATCTGATGTGTAGTTCTTAATTTTTTCTCAAAGTCAAACCACCAGCTACTGTGAGCTATTTTCAGCACTGCAAGATGTTCAATATGCAGCTACAGGAGCAGGGAGGCTTATCACTCATCCAGGTGCTCTTCCAGGCCCACATCTAGCCAGATTTAAAAACAAATAAATAAATAAATAAATAAATAAAGAGAGAGAGAGAGAGTGAAAAGCAAAAGTTCGGAAACTTCAGAGAACTTTAAACCACATTTTTTCCAGTGGCCAGCAGCCTCAGCCCAGTTTGCCCTTTCCCTTCCAGTTCTAACCCTTACACTGGACAGAAGTATTGTAGACATGGTCCAACACAGAGACTGGTCTCCAACTTGTTCCTCTGCCTTTCTTCATCTGGGCAGCTCAGTCAAAAATGAGCTGTTTCCCTGTTTTTTGTTGTTGTTTGTTGTTGTTTTTTGTTTATTTGTTTGTTTTGTTTGTTTTAAATATATTGCTAGTGCCTACAAAACAAATGCTGATTAATTCTAGCGAATTTCCCCAGTTGAGATGAAAACAGCAACAACAAAGAGACAGCAAAAACAGAACAAAAGTGAAGCTTTAGTAAATTTTGACTGAAGTATTTCACATTGCAGACTTCTGACTCACCTGGTTTCCCTTGATGTTTTGAATTTGAACACATTCTTGTTGACTTGTAAACTTAAGTGACCGCATTCTGCTCAATGACATACCCTCCAGAGTGGATGAGACTGCAAAGTACTAAGCACTTAAATTTAAATACTTGTACTTTTTTCTTCAGGGAGCATGAACTGTCCATTCCTAAAGAATTCAAACAATTTTCACACAGCCTTCATCATCTTTCAGGAAGTATATTTACAGCATTAAGGGCTGGCAAAATTAGCCCCTAGCAACCTCAGTGCACATTTCAGCAGTTAGATCTAGTTGCATGCATTTAGCTAAATTACAGTTTAGATTATTATATTTTGTAAACCTGAATTTCTCACAGTTCCAGCTGTATCTTCTGTTTTTCATCACCTCCACCGCCTCCCTCTGCCTCATGAGAGATGGAGAAGAAAGAAGTGCAATCTTCATTGGTGATTTCATTCTTAAGGTAAGTTGAAATACTGGAAATTTTCTGAAGCAGACGTCTCTGAAATAAATGTCACTTGCAACATTTTTGGCTCAGCTTGACTTTACATTATGCCCCTTTGTCCTACCAGAGAATGGAGTTTGCGTGGGCCACGTGCCAGCAGCCATCCACCACAGTCCAGTCCTTGAGCATCAGAAAGCAGCAACTGGAGATGCTTGACAACAAAAAAGTGTCCTGAAAAAAATATAATTTTTTAAGAATTAGTAGTAGCTACATCAGTTTCAAATCAGACAGCTTGTAAGACCTTTAATTGAACATGATTCTGTGAGAATGCATTTTCTTTACTGAAGGAGATCTGCTATTTTCTGTTAGGGAAATTTTATGCTGTGTAAAAGCATTGTGGATATGATGAATCAGAAACAGAATTGATTTCTCCAAGCCAAATTATATTAACGAAATCATTGCCATTCTCTCCTTAGGTTTGGGGTTGGGCTTTTTTGTTTGCTTGCTTGCTTGTTTTGCCATTATATCTCCATATTTGTGCAGAAACCTGGCTTATTTAACATTGGAAGAGTTTACAATCCAATTTCCTGTCAAAAATGGTTTAGGTAGAATATTTTTCAGTAAGTCTTAGTGAAGAAGTTTTGACATTTTGCCTTTCAAGTTATATGTTTATCATTTGGAGAATTACATTAGTCTTTTCACTGCAGACTGCATGTAGGTTTAGATAACTTTGCTGAGAGCATAGTCAGCATATATCTCAGAAGAGAAGGAAAAACATTTTTTATAATTACAAGTTTTTTTTTTTAAATTAATGTTTTGTTTTTTTTTTTAAATGAACATAAAAGCCAATCACAGAGACAGAAAAACTAGGAAAATCTGCTCTCTGCTGCTGCATTTCTTGTTTAAACACATTTGTTTAATTTTATGGAAAGTTTACTGCAGCATCTTGGAAATACCCATGTGTTTTTCTCTATTACACATAATGTTTATGCAGGTGAAAAATAACTTATTATGTGGGACAACTTGTTACTTGACATGCAAAAAAACATATTCCATTCATAACCACACATCTCATGTCCTGCTGTGAGCACAGCTATGCTGATAAATTCAAAACCCATCCCTCCTTTCTCACACATAAAAATAAATAAATAAATGAAATAAAGCAAAACTTGTTTCTGCTTCTATTGAAATGTCAAAACTTTCCATGACTTTGATAGCTGCTAATAGTTTCAAGCACCAGCTTCTCCACAGAGTGCATTCTCCAGGCTGTTCTCCAAAGAGTAAGCTACAGGTAGCAGAAAGTAAATAAATGCACAAACACAACTTTGCATTAGCAGCTGCCTCCTGCCTACCTTTCCATTGGCACCGTGTGGTCCTATTACCCCCCCTAAGGGCATGGCAGCTGCATTCAGTCATGTGTTGACGAGGGTGCATTTCCCTCGTGTGTAGGAATGCCTCCTTTGCATGGTTAATGGTTACCACATCCTGACATCCTTCTTTAAAGGCCACAGATACTTCATCCCACTTCTTGAAGAAAGGGTCTCTAAAGCTGTGCTCTCCTGCTGTGGAGAAGTGGAAGCCACAACAGACTTTTTTTTTACTCATCACCAGTACCACCAAAAAACTTTCTCTTTTTTGGTGCCCTTCTCCCAAGCCCTTCCCCAGTGACCACTGAACCTCTGAAGTACCTTCCCACTTCAGCCTACCGAGGTACCTCTGCTGCAATCCTCTGATAACCGATTTCTTAAATGCTCCTTGACATTCAGATCCATTCCCAGATGTAAATGTTGATAGCAATCAGTTTCAAACCCAGCCTTTGCCCTGGCAGATCATTAGCCTGTGAATAAAACACGGAGATAGATACCTGGATTTCTGATCAGCAGTAGGTATGTTGATGACTTTCATGTGAGGCACAAATTGTGAGTGTGACAGGACTCATTATCTATAAATCACCAGTTGGATTGTGGTTAACTTCCCGTGGTAACAGAGATGAAACACATTCTCTCTCCCTCATTAGCTGAGCACTGACAAAGCACTGCAGGGATCTTTCTGCTGCACAGAAAACATCTGCCTGGATTCAACTTCAGGAGGTCTCTCACAAAATCGTTTCATCTGAGGTGTCACCTGCACAGACAACCCTGAAACACAGACACTTCACACTGGTCCAAATGTCCCAAGCACCAAAAACAAAACTTCCACCCCCTCACACACACCCTTAGGTCACACAAGTGCTTGACTCACAGCTGCCAAAGAAGCATTCAAGTGGGATTTCAAAAATATGTCCTCATCTTCTTCTGAAGAGGTTTCATCTTACCCCCCCACTCTCAAAAAAGTCAATCCATCCCAGCGCTTTTCTCTCTGGCTCCATCACAGCCTCACCCTTCTGCAGTAAATAACCTGGAAATTTCTACAACACTGTCAAATACAGGACAAAAATGCTTTGGGTTCTCAGTATGCTGGAACCTTGGCTTTTTATCACCATTTCTTTACAGTTTCTCCTACCATGACAAGGGCAGGAAGACCATCAAGGCAGGAATTACACATTAGCAGTGGCTTCCAGGGCTCTGGAGTGAACGTCATGCTGGTCCTTAGCTGAAACACACAGAGATAATATTGCTGTACAAGGAGACCTGCACCCTATTTGCATTCATGAATTCACACATTAAACAACCTGAAACCTTCTAAGAGCATTTCACCCTGAAAATAAATCTTTAGGATACCCACAACTCAGAAAATACACAGAAAATCCACAAAAAAATCAAGGACAAGATGCTCTTTCTCAGAGAAACAGCAGAGGATTTGAATGATCAAAGAAATGGATGGAGAAGACAAGGCTGTGAGGTAAATGCTTGTGATGATGCTGGATCATGATTTATGTTTTGTTTTTTTTTCAGATTTTTTTTTTTAAACTCTCCTTCAGCCAAACCCCATGAGCAGACATTTAATGCCTTTCCGAAGTTCCCCAATGGAAACCTCCTTACATTTCTCTTAGTTTCTCCCTATTTTTTGGTATGTTCCGCATCAGGGTTTAATATGATGCATGCTTACCCAACACTGGACTTGATGACCCAAGTTCACATCTGGTCCCACATTTCAGCATGTCATGTTCCTGACAGTTTCAACAGGCTGCACGAATAACCCCAATTAATCTCTTGAAGGATAAGGAAGAAGAGGGCAGCAGATCCCTGCAAAGTGCAAAAGCAGTCCAAATACTAAAACCTTGAAGGGGATAAACATCACTCTTTTCCTGACCTTGAAACCTGAGAAATCCCCCATCCGACTGAAAATTGATACAAGAGATTTTGCTTTTTAGTCCTCCCAAAAGTGAAAACCCAGTTGACAGGTGTCACAACATCCTGACTGCTGCCTGGCCCCCAGGGATCACAGGCAATTTACTTACTTGGCAACATCCTGACTGCAGGTGGCAATTCCCACCCAAAGGAAACCCCACACCAACACTTGCTCAAGGTCCAGTGTGGAGGGCAAGCAAGGTAACAGCTGGCAGCAGTGCCCCTCAGCTGCATCTGTAGAGAGAAAAGCTCACACAGTAACTTGAAGGCTACACTACAGTGCAGATAAATCAAACTTGGCAGAATACATCCAGTGCTTATCTAATAACAGCCTTCTTTCTCCATGAGGTGGTTTTAAAGTATTTATTTTTTTCCCCCAATTTTACATGAAAATAATTAAAAAAAAAAAAAAAAAACAGGAATCCCACTTTTCCTCATAGAATACACACACAAAAATTTCATGCAGGTCTAGCAGTAATACTTTAAGTTTCAAGAAGAGTTCCAGGAAAATAATATCTGTCAGTCATATTCATGTCAACTTCTCTATGCTTTTCTTTAAGCTTCTCTTCTTCCCAGTGCATCCTTCAGGCCACCATTGTCACTTACCTGCCAAGGTATAAAATCAGGAGTGAGTTTCAAAAGCCAGTTGACAAAACTTTTCCTGTCCAATTTGAGTTTTTTTTGCAGCTTTCTCAGAACTCTCTTCGAGAAACCCTCCCTAGGAGATAAACACAGCTGGCACCCAAAACTCAAATCTTCTTGGAAACTCCCACTCAACTTTTTCATTTCTTTTGTGTGTTTTTTGTTTGTTTGTTTTGAGGCTCTGAGGTGACTTGAGAGATGACTTTTAATATTACAACTACCAGGAATGGTAGAGAGAAACACAGATTTTTACTATTTAAGGAAATCAAAGAGCTAAAGGGATTTCCTCAGTTACTTATGTTCTCTCCCTGACACATGTCCTAAAATCACAAAATCATACTGTGAACAAGCTCCAGTTTCCTGCTCATGCTGCTTCTTTCCCCCTATAGTTTTCCATACTACTGAGCAATTCTCCCACTTTCATGATTTCTCACTGTGTTCCCCACAAACACAGAAGAGCTCCCTGCTGTGCTTTGTATTTGGTCACTCTTCAGCTCCCATCTCGTCTGGGCACCAGCCACTCTTTCTACATGACTCATTTTACAGCCAAGCCCTTTTTTACTGTTTTGCTTGATTTCCCTCCCACTTGTTACAATTTGACCCTTCCTCTTTTAAAAAACACTTTTCCTCCCAAACTGTCTCCAGTTAAGTTAGAGATAGCAGTGGAATAAATTCTTTCTTCCTGCTTGCAATACACAAGACTTTTGTTAACATTACCTCAATATAGCATTTCTTTTCTTTGTGCCTGTCAGTTCCAGTTTATCATCACCTCCATAAATCCTGGCTCCCTTGTCCTTCTCAGCAGCACTACCACCCCTTTAGGATGATTATGAACTCAGTGGTAGACTACCAACTACTTAAAGGTAATAAAAGAGCTGTGCTACACTTTATCTTGAGCTCAGAATATGTTGGGGTATCTAATTTTTTATTGGTTTTACTTCCCTCTTCTCTCCCCCCCGCTTCTAACAGCTGCTTGCAACAATAGCAATGATAACAACAAAGCAGTTGAAAATGTTATTTTGATTTAATGAGCCTCTATTCTGTAAAAGAGTCAACACTTCCCACAAATAACTGCAGTGCTTCCTGTAAGACTATTAGAGGGAGTAAAAAAAATGTTTGATAGTAGCAAGTCTTTTTTTCTCCATCACTGCTTGTCCTTTGGGGACTGATGGAAGAACACATTGTTTGACAACTGATAAATCTACTGCACAGAATAAAAGACTGATAATTTCTATGGTAGCAGAACAGGATCTTTTATCTTAAAACAAAGGCCCTCATTATTTCTCACAAGATGACAAAATGTTTTCACTATGTAACAGTGGTGAATGGTGTTTCACCATTTACGCAGGTGCCCAAGACAAAAAACTCCCTTTACAGATAGCAGATCCCAACCAAAGCCTGTTTTGTCAGGAGACAAAATGTCAGGAGACAAAGTGAAGATCTGGAGATCATTCAGATTTGAGAGAATTTGTACTGGAATTATCAGGCATGAAGGAGGATGATAATTTTAGGGTTAGGAACACATACGGAACAAAGACCACCACTCTGATTTCCAGAGCTTGCAGGTAAAGCATTGTAAGCACCAAAGCCATTCCCACAAAAATAAGTAGGAGGCAGGAGAAAGCCTAAAGTGCCAGCCACAGGAAAACTACATCTTCCACACATACAGGCAGTTTGACAATGATGTGTCTTTCACATCACTGGTAACATCTAAATGTTAATTCAGTGAGATTGAACTTTCACTGACTACACATACACATTTTCATAGACAAGCACATTTTACATACAGCTTTTCTTAGTTTCATTTGCATATGATGGTGAAAATCTAAAAAAAAAATACTCATTTGTAATAAAAAGCACACCCAGCACTGAAAAATACAGCATAACCTTCAATAACTTAGTTTCATGACAGGAAAGCAACTTATTTCTTTGTCTGAACATTAAGGGTGGAACCCTACCCCCTACCACGCAGTCAGAGCCATTTTAGGCAGTCACAACTTACTTTTTGCCAAAAAAGATCCAACAATGAGGCTACCACACACCCAGTCACACATTTTAGGCAGTCACAATGTACTTTTGACCAAAAAAGATCCAACAGGGCTGCCACACGCACGCAGTCAGAGACATTTTAGGCAGTCACAATTTACTCTTTGCAACAGAGATCCAACAATGGGGCTGCTGCACATCCCCCAGTCAGAGCCATTTTAAGCAGTCACAGTTTACTTTTTGCCAACAGAGATCCAACAATGGGGCTGCTGCACATCCCCCAGTCAGAGCCATTTTAAGCAGTCACAGTTTACTTTTTGCCAACAGAGATCCAACGATGGGGCTGCCGCACGCCCCCCATTCAGAGCCATTTTAGGCAGTCACAGTTCACTCTTTGCCCACAGATCCAACAATGGGGCTGCCGCACGCCCCCCATTCAGAGCCATTTTAGGCAGTCACAGTTCACTCTTTGCCCACAGATCCAACAATGGGGCTGCCGCATGCCCCCACACACTCACTGTCTGCCTCCGGAGCTTCGCCCTCGCTTGCTCCTAATAATGTAGCTGAATGTCACTGCCCGCGCACCGACCTAAGAGCCCCGGAACCAAGCACCGGCACAGGCCGCGAACAGTAGCCGGGGTTTACCTTGACGTAGCGGGAGGCAGAAAAACGCAGCGCCCCCTTCCGGAGCTCCGGAGCCGTGACGGGACAAGCGGCGTACCTTTCGCCGCGCTAAATTTGGCCTTTCCTGGAGCCGGACGGACCTGGCAGCCGTTCGCAAGGCCCATCCTCAGCTGGGTGTGATAACTGAGAATAGGATGGGTGGGAATGGCACAAAGCTGTGCCAGGGGAGGATCAGACTGCGTGTTAGGAACAATTTCTTTACAGTGGAGGTGGTCAAACAGTGGAAAAGGCTTCCAAGTAAGGTGGTTGATACACCATGACTGTCAGTGTTCAAGAGACATTTGGAAAATGCCCTCAGTAATATTCTTTGACTTTTGGTTATCCCTGAAATAGTCAGGGTTGTTTTTTTTGTTTGTTTGTTCATTTGTTTGTTTTTGTGTTTTAAATTTTTGTTGTTGTTATTATTGTTGTTTTTGTTTGGTTGGTTTGGTTTAGTTTGATTTATTTTTTGTTTTTTATGAAGGCATGATTTTTACTTTGTCCCCTTGATAACTTAAGATTTATAAAGTAGAATTTTAATGGATGGTTTGGAGAACTAGTAGGCAAGATAAGTAGTTTGAAACACAATAAATAGATCAAAGAACAGTGTAAAGGTGGAATTTGATGGAAGAGAGACAAAGATACAGGACACATGTAGAAGTTTGTACTTAAATATATAAATATATATATATGAGATCCTGTAAATTAAGATTTCTCCAGTCACCAGAATGAAGCACTGACTTGCTGGGCTTAAGGGTCTTCAATTTTCACCCTTTTTCTGCTAGACAGGAAAAAAAATAAAAAAAAAAATCTTTACCAAACTTTCAAATATATATGTTCAATTATTTTTGTGTGCTAAAACCTCATTGCTTCATAGCATCAAGGCAGACACAGGTCTCCCAGATGTTGTGCCACAGCTGCCTACCCCATACAGAAATCTCAGGCATCCTACCATCACCCAAAAGAGACTTAAGTTTCTGGCTTAAGGAACTGAAATGAACTCTACCTTGTCTCACATGCAAAAAGCTGTCCCTGAAGACTTTTATCTAGTGGTCTTAATCTGGAGCTGAATCCTATAAAGGCAAGTTTAAGATGTTCAAGCATAGGTCTCTAGAGACATCCAAGACATCCACATAGGGCTGCCAGAGGTACCTCAGGACCTATAGAAAAGTCACGGTATTCTGGAGTACAGCTGCAACTCAGGTGGGTTATACACAACATCACTTAATGTTGTGCAGTGCAGAATAGAAATACCCATTTTAAGTACTGTGTGTCCAGGTGATCAGTCAAGTTAAGGTCAATCAGTTTATTGATTAAGTACCTAAAACATATAGTCAGACAATATAGTCAGAGAGACAAAACTTATGCTTCCAAATCCATAACTTTTGGTTTGGTCACAGGTGCTGTAGAAGCTCGAAGCAAAGCCAGATAAATATGCAGAAATCACTAACAGCATTTATCTTCATCGTTGATTACACTTAACAAACTTTCCATCACATCACTTAATTCCCGCCTGCCTTCTTCAGAAGCATAAATTAGAATGTCAGCTACAAGAACGCCCTTCAGAAACTTTCCTTCAGAAACGACCAGAAACAGAGCATTCCTGAAAAGGAAAAAAAAAAAAAAAAAAAGGGGGGGGGGGGGGGTGGAAAGTAGAAAAGAACACAGAATACAAACCTCATCTATGTTTCTGTGTTTCCTATCTATAAAGATGGGAATCAACAGCTTAAATGAATTGTAAAAATATTTAATATTTACTCAAACTCCAGACCTAACTAGTAAAGCATTATAAAAGTTTGGTTCATTGCTTGTCCAGTCAGTACTAACCCTTTATCCTAATAAACACACATTCTAAAATCAACATGTAAGTAATAAATGAGCCACCAGAGCTCTGAACAGGTTAGTTTTGATGTCAGAAACAGGCTGTTCATAATCATACAGAGCTTTTCATGAGCAAGCTGATTTGCTCCTCATTGGCTTTTCAATTTGTGCTCTTTGTTTATAGCCATCTCAGGCACCGTGCAGCATAGACATAGCTATAGAACAAGCTACCTCGTGGTATCATTCCAAGACACATCTTCTACAGTACAACCAACATCCCATTCATATCTTATTGAAGTCAAAGGCAAATTTTTCATTGATGCCTGTGTTTATTGCTTTTGTTTCCAGGTTTTCTGTGTTACTTTATCTGCCACAGAGTGATGGTGTTGTGACAACAGATGCTTTCTGAGTTCATCAGTTAGTGCTGCATATTCCCACTTGAATCCCTGGTTGTTGCTTTTATCCAGCTGTCTGATTTGTGCATTTCTAAGGCATTCATCTATAGCAGCATTAGTTGATCTGGAAATGATTAGAAATGGAACAAACACCCATGTTTTGTATTGACTTTTAAAAGCAATCCTCCTCCTTACACTGAGTGAAGTGATGGTAACCATTGGGCACAGAGCCATGCAGGAGCAGAATTAATCTTTTATGCCACAGGATTATGTCAGATGCCAGTGACCTTTATTAAAGCACCAACATATGGGAAATATGACCTCAGAGGAGAGATTGAAAGAGGTAGCACTGTTTAATCTAGAGAGTAATGAGATACATGACAACAACATTCAAATACGTAAAAGGTAACTTCAGTGAGCAATCTGTTCTCCATAAGCCACTTGAGAGATGACAGGAAATATTGAGCTTAAGGGGCAACAAGGGAGGTTTAGACTGCATGTTAGGAAAGTTCTCCTCAGTGTAAGGATAGGGAAGCATTGGGAAGCTGGGGAAAATTGCTCACAGAGGTTGCCTGCCCAACCTATCAGAGAAGCATTTCCCAAGAAGGTTCATGTCAAACCACTCATGTTTGAGGGCAGCCCACAAGACTGGATGGCCAAGAGAAAGTTTTTCCAATACCATCTTCTAAAT